TCACCCATTGGTATAGAGAAGAGGAAGAGAGAGAGAGAGAGAGAGAGAGGAGAGATCGTTTATTCGTTAGATTATGGATAAAGGTATACACGAAGGTGCGTGTGCAGCGAATCTTTCCGTTTGAACTTTACGTTCTCGTTTTACGACGGTCACCGCAGATACATTGTTGGATAAATAGCGCGGATGGTAGCTGCTGAGTGCGTCTTAACAGTGGGAATAACCGAGGCTACTGTTGGAACCTTCTTAGGTGTGCTCCTTTGTACCTTGAAAAGCGTCGAGTTTCGCTATTGCCGGGTAAATTGCTACAAAGTGCACGGATTGATAATGGTAATTTCGCGAGAAATGGAATTTTGCGAATTTCTGAGTGGATCGTTTTAATTCGACAGATTTTTTTGAGATTGTGTTGGTGCATCTGTGATGTGGATATGTTTGTTGGGATTATGTTAGAGATTTGATGATACGATTGTAGAGTGCATTAGTATTATGAAGTTTTAAAGTGCACGGATTGATAACGATAATTTCGCGAGAAATGGAATTTTGCGAATTTCTGAGTGGATCGTTTTAATTCGACAGGTTTTTTTGAGATTATGTTGGTGCAACTGGAATAACCGAGGCTACTGTTGGAACCTTCTTAGGTGTGCTCCTTTGTACCTTGAAAAGCGTCGAGTTTCGCTATTGCCGGGTAAATTGCTACAAAGTGCACGGATTGATAATGGTAATTTCGCGAGAAATGGAATTTTGCGAATTTCTGAGTGGATCGTTTTAATTCGACAGATTTTTTTGAGATTGTGTTGGTGCATCTGTGATGTGGATATGTTTGTTGGGATTATGTTAGAGATTTGATGATACGATTGTAGAGTGCATTAGTATTATGAAGTTTTAAAGTGCACGGATTGATAACGATAATTTCGCGAGAAATGGAATTTTGCAAATTTGTGAGTGAATCGTTTTAATTCGAGAGGTTCTTTAGAGATTATGTTGGTGCAACCGTGATGTGGATATTTAGAAATTATGTTCGATTGTAGGATTATAAATGACCACTGTTGGTAGTATTGCTGTAGCTAGCAACATTGGTACGTAATTCTTGCCATAGTTGAGATTATAATTATTCGAATATTTGTAATATCTTCTACATTCTTCTATAATTCTATCTTCGTTAAAAATTGCTCGAAAGGTATTTAAATTATCGCCACCAAAGCGTCAATCTTATCTTCAGCGTGTAAAAATTAAAAAGTATAATTAAATTAGATTCTTCTGACACTTTCTTATTGACCATTCGACTCCCATAAAAAGTAACACTATTTTAACATTCATTAAATCTTCTTAATACCTTCGAGAAGTCAACTGTCACAAAAAAAAAAAAAAAGCTGATACTTTCTCTCATTCTTCCTTTCGATCTTCCCACCCAAAAAAAAGAATTATGTCACGGAATAAAATTCTGACCCGAAAACACGGAAAATTCCAGGAATTTCCGATGCATTGAGTAACCAGAAAAATACATTAACGATCCTCGAAGAGAAGAATGCAAAGATCGGAAGGACGTTGGTTCCAAGGATTAACGCCCGTGGAATTCCCGAACGAATGCCATTTTATTGTACGCCGACGAAATTTCCATACCGTGAACCTTCTTCTTCCTCGCTGATCGATGACACCGAGATGTTATTTCTTTTTTATTTCACGAATGACGATCGAAACCGGCGAGAATAAAAAGAAAATACAGCGATCGATAAGTGTGCGAAGTTGAAACTCGCGAAGTGTGGCGAAAAAAAGAGAGAAGCTGTTCTCGAACGTCGACGAGTTGTGCCCACGTACTGAATTCCACTCTGATGGCGAACCTGTGCCTACGTAAGTGGTCTCGACAGGGGGCAAGAAAAAAATTTTGACACATTCCACGGATGCGCCTTTTTTTCTCTTCAACCACAGTGTCAACGTTTACGAGTAAGCTCGCAGCACGATTCTCGCGGGGGAACATAGAGGAAACTATGATAGTTTCTGTATTATGGTTGAATGAAAAGAATACGAGGCGAATCGTCTGTTTGCTTCCTGATTAACACGTTAACCAGTCGATGATGCGTTAAGATAGCCAACTTAATTTACGATTCGTGCCGTTTTATCGTGTACAAAAAGTGCTTTATCGCTGTTTTACGATCGTCGATTAGGAAGAGGATTATTTGAATACGGGCGTAGCAATGTCGAGCAGAGAATTAATTGTACACTTCGGAAAAAATAGCCAGTAATTATACCGGATGGGCTATCTAATTATCTTCTCTAGGTGGCGCGTCTCCATGTGTGGATAAGATGGAAGAAATTTTTTTTTTGATTGGAGAAATGGTAAAAAATGAATGGGAGTATGACACTTGATTTAAAATTTTAGAGTTCAAGATCATTTAAGGAAGTTTAAATATACATCTATGTCTGCTACAGTATACAGTAGAAAAAAATATATAAATTCATGTAAAGATACAGGTGATCCAAAAAAAGGAAAAAGAAAAATAATATTTATAAAAAAGGTTTTTCCCATCTTATTCAGCCTTTGATACCATTCAAATTACGGATAATAATTGTCTCCTACTACTATAGCTAGATAAGATAAAATCAAACGGCCTGTTTTACATGATCCACTTTGTATATTCGATAGATTTTTACAATTTTTAATTTGCTGTAGCAGTTCTCAATATTTTGTCATTCAAGAGAAGAAGAACTACTACAACAAATTAAAAATTGTTATAAAAAGTGCTCCACGAAATCTGAGCACTGCTACCGAATACGCAAAAACTTGCAATTTTTTCTAAAGTACACATTTGATTCTCCGATCAACGTTATTAAGTCCGATCGACAGCTAATCGATCGATAAATTTTCCCGCGTAACCGACGTCAAATGGCAGAAATATAATTACTTGCAACTAGATCGAAGAACATTGTCGCGCGAAAGTAGAATATACAATCGAACGTGAAACGTGGCGCGTTAGGCGAGAGGATAAGCGTTTTTCCCGATATATCGGCGTATTGAAATGAAAAACAGAGCAAAAGAGAAACGGTCTCGCGTAAATCTACTATCCGACGACTGAATAAATATATACATATATTCGCGATTTATTGTAACATCGTAATTTCGCTTGGCGAGCAACAGTTTTTTGAGTCAGAAAAGTACGCGAAACGTGCTCTTCTATTCTAGAACGTATTCCTGGAAATATTGCGAGAATGCCGACGGGGCCGCGGGTACGTTTATCACCATCGAAGCTCCGAGTCGGAATGATTTTTCACGGCGCTTTACGCGTTGTTCCATTTAGTCGTTTCAGAAAATAATTGAAAGCGGACGTCATCCTTCTTATCCCAACGGTTCGAAATGAAAAATCGTGCTATCGGTATCGGGGCCAACCCTCGTGCTTGCTCTCTCCTCCCTACACAGGGAAACACGTATTTAGTTTACAAACAAATGGCGGCTCGAAGGAAAGAACAATGTTGCCGGTCACTCAGTCGCGTTTTATCGTATAATTAATTCGATAACGAAGAAACGAATGACCGCGACATAAACAAATGTGATTTTCTCTTTAGCGGCTGGCCGTCGAAAGGGGGAGATCCTCCATGTTCGATCGTCGCGGAGACTGATTACGCGTCGTGCGATTTCTGTCTTCGATATCACCGAAATATTTCAAGAAAGATTACGATTAATTTTTACATTGCAAAAAGTAGCGGAATTTTGTTCTTGGAAAGAAAAAAGTAATCTCCATTACGGCTATTCCAAGTTGAAAATGAAACGTCGAATTGATTATTATTTCTCGCGATCGCGAGTATAGATTAACAATGAATCATACAATTCGCGTAACATCGAAAATTTCACCGTAATACCGTTCGATCGGAACTTATGTACACACCACGAGATGCGTTTTGATAACAAACGTTGCTATTTCACGGAAGAACCGCGTCGTATACGAAATCTTCTTGGAACCGTGAAAGACAAGACGAGAGCGTAGAGTGTAATAAAATTTCGTAACAAGAAATTAAAATTATCTTTCCAAGAGTGTAAAAGCAGTGAGTTATCGGGTGCTCCACATAATTAAGTTAGCAACGGGCACGGTACTGACCGGAGTTTCTCGATTAATCATTAAAACGGACAGAAGGAGAGAGAGAGAGAAATGCGTGCATACGAGAAAGAGAGAGAAAGAAAGAGGTGACTATCGCGTATTTATAATTACATTGAAAAAAATTGCGCTGTCGGATCTTTAATCGAGCGTCGGATGTACCGCTATTTACCTTTCTTCTTTGCCTGGTGCAAACAAAAGACTATTTGTATCGCATGGCGGGACAACTTAAAAGGCCCGAGCGACGCTCCGTAAAACGCGCACACGTCGTCCCACTGCTAATAATTTTTCACCGCGAGCAAACTGCTAATAAAAGCGTTCCTTTCATTTGTCCAAAAACACTGTTCCGTACATATCACACTTGCGAATAGTGTCTAATTAACGAACAAGCCAAAAGCACCGCGGTGTCAACACCATGTTCTCTAACTACACCGATGAATTTCATTTAACCGGCTAAACACACTTTCAGCAAATAGTGTAATACACCTGCCTGTTCCGTGAAATATATTGCCTGGAACAATTACCGGATCACCTATTTCAATTCACGATCACCGTGCGTTTAACCTGTGGTTGCTTTATGATTTTATTAATGACAACGCGATTTGTATCTGACACCGTGAAAGATACAGAGGAACGTTCAGATAATTGTATTTTACGACTGCAACCTCGCATTGTACCGCAACAGGGTTAATGGTACAACGATATTTTCACCAATTACATACCTAAGCTTACAAGAACACACGACAACAAATCTTCCAAATACACCTTTTCAAATCCTTCTCTCGATACGATACGAGAAAGGATATTCAAGAGGAAGTAACAATTCAACCCTGTCTCTGTTAAAGAAAAAAAAAAAAAAAAAAAGAAATCCATGTTAATATTTTCCAAATTTCTCAAGAACATCTTTGATAACCTTACCTTAGCCATGGTGATGGTATTCGCGGCGGCATCGAGATGAACGAAGACGGACAGGAGGATGGCAGTGCGTATCATCGGGATCATCATCGTGTCCTCGGCTGGTGGTACGTCCTCGAGGGTCGAAGGACCGAAGCCACTGGTCCGACACGCACGTACACGCACGCCACTCACACGCACTCACTGTTCCTGGCACATGGCATCCTCCTTTTCATGATCTCTCCTCCTCCTCTTTCTCTCGTGGTCTCGTGGTCGTCGATCTCGTTTCCTTCGAAATTTACTCGCGCCGAGTTTTCCTTTTTACTGTTTCTCGCCACTTCTCTTCTACTTCGACCTTCTTACCTCGTCGATCGCTCTGATTACCCTTTCAAGTGAACCATGAGATATCCCCCGTGGAGGGGTAAAACGCATGCAAACGAAGACCACCAATAGAAAGGACGCAAATGTATGTCCAGCCGTGGCAACTGCCGCCGAGCAACTGGCACTTGCTTGCCTGCTGGAGCAGCCTGCCTCGGCCCGATGGCAGACTCCCCGTTGCAGTCCTGTGTGTTACGCTCCTCTTCGTCGCTATCGGGGAATTTCGATGGTTAAAAAGTGACGAGAAGTTCGTGCCCGAAGCTTAGTCGCTCGCAGGCCACTTCGAAGAATTAGAGGATCGCTCGTTCGAGCAGCTATAGCCTGGTCTAAGGTATTTCCAACCGATTACCTGCTTACCGATTACATATTTGCAATTGTACTTAACTTACGTTAGGAAAAGATAAATTACACTCTGGTGGTGAGTTGTTTGATGGATTATTCCGGTAAGATTTATTGACAGTAAAGGAGTCTAGACGTTCCCTAGACACACGGAACGTTTGGAAAAATTCTGCTGCTTTCTTTCTTCTTCAGATACGATCCTCTCTGATTGCTTTGAACAGTGTAAATTTCAACAAAATGTAAATCTCAAATTTGTAAGTTTTTAGATTTGCGTTGGATTCATGAAATCAAGTAGACACTCGTGATAAAGAAAGTATTCTATTGTCTTTCGAAAAGCTTGTTAAAAAGCTCCATTGATAAATTGTTCGTTTATAATTAACAAGTGTCCGGTGATTTATGAATCGAGACGTATATATCGAAGTATTTTTACAAGATGAAAAATTAAGTATCTACCGGTTTAATGTATTTTTGAACATTTTCCAATTTCCCGGTTCTGTTCGCTCTTCGTAAGAATCACTTATGCAATGTTTATTTTTATCTCGCTTCTTTATCACATCTTAATCCGAGCAGCAGCTCTTCGTACCGGCACACGATGTCCTTCTTGACGATGCTCCACAGCCTGTCGCAGATAAGAGCGAAAATAACCAAGATTGCTGATTTCATGTAACGTCATTTACAATATGTACAACCGAAGCATAAGGATACACACGGGGATCGAGTAAGAATCGGAATCACTTGTCCGTGGAATGATTATCCTTTGAAAGATAGTTTCGGTTCTCGTATAAGTGCAATTTCCTCCGTCACGGGAGCGATTATTGTAACACGATACGTTCAGACACATTTTGCACACTCATCGACGCGAATAAAGCGATTTCGACGCTCATTTCGCTTTCTTCGTCGCGCGATACAGACTCTCCTAGGTAGTTCCGCGCGATCGAAGATTCATGAGTCATCGAGAATTCGAAACCGATTCAGAACTGGTTGTTTGGTCGATGGAATGTAGCTTTTAACAACGACCGACCAGATAGCAGAAGGGTGTGAGAGGGTGCTGTGGCGGATCGTACAAGCGTTTAGAGGTGGACGCACACCTGTGACCATCCACGTTCCTCATTAAATTTCAATCGGAGACCTGATTTATCCCTTTCGTGGACGTAGTTCGCGCTTCCATCGTGCTCCCGCCGATTGTCCTCCCCAGGTTGCTGCAAAAACAACTGGAATCAGAGAGAACAATGCTGCCGCATCCTTTTGAATGGGACAAGTAGTAGGTAGCATTGTCCTTCGCGAATCTTCCATCATTCTAGGCCTGCTGTCACATTTCTTTCCCTCCTTAATGCAATTCGCTTGTTAACATTTTCTTTCTCTTTTTGTTCCTGACCGTTCTGTACTAATTTATAATAGTCTACTCGAATAAAGGCGATACTATTTTTATTTTCGATCTGATAGTAAATGTAATTTGAAAATGATAATTTAAAAAGGTTCTTTTTTGCAAAATATTGAATTTTGGCGGGAGAACAGCCAATTTCGAAATTGTTATAGAAACCCTTACTATTTGAAACACCCGGTACATTAACATTTAACGCTACGCACTACTGAAACGATTCCGTGGTGGAACCAGTGAACACGTAGTTTATACAGTTACCATTCGTGATTTGTAACGCAGAACGACACGCAAATACTATATTTTACTCCGGCCACCGTAGACACGACGTAAAATTAGATATAGGGTAGATCGTGGGATTAAGCTCTAAGTCAGATTTAAAACTGACCGTACGCCGGTCGTTCCATCAATAATTCCTAACATTGTCGCGTGTAAGCAATATCTATCTTCGAGACACCTGCCTGAGACAAGCAAACACAATGGTGCTTAATCGGCCAGAACGATCGAACTCTTTGATTGAACTCGTTCCACTGGTAGGCGTAGCGAGCGGGATAATAACTTGCTATTGCTCGGCTACCTACGTACCCATGGGTGTAATTCACTCGTAGGGTCCGCCATTAACCGCCTTTAAACAACTTTACTAGCTGCTTCGCATTGTATTTGCCTTCTTCTTCTTCCTCCTCCTCCTCAGAGAAATAAACATTAAGAGTACGAGTCCTCGTTGTTTCCTCGTTTACTATCAATTATTGTTAGATTCTCCTTATTCGTTCTTGTTAACTGCAATATCGAGAATTTTGCTATTATTGTGGCGATTATGAACAGCGTAGATTGTAATAATAGGAACAAATTAGAAGAGTGGAATAGGTTTCGTTATTAGACAAGATTGCGAATTCCTGGAAATAAAGATAAAGTTTAATTTAAGATCTGAAGGAAAAAGGAAGGTAACCACCGGAGTTGGTGGATGCATTCTGAACGGCTGTTGGCATTCGAATGCGCTCGGTCCAGCGGAGAAAGTGGCGACGATCGTGAGCGCAATTATATTGCCGTGTCTGAAGTAAACGGGGAGACAAAAGTCTTTCTATATTTACGATCCGCTTTTGAAACATTACTCGACACTGGTAGTTTAAATAAATCACTCGGCCTGTTTCGATAAATCACTCAGCTCCCTTAGACACTGACGATCAATTTCAGCTGTAAAAGTAATTGAAAACAATGAGTACGAGGTTTCTCAAATGAAAAAAAAAAAGAAAAAGAAAAGAAGAACCTCTCTCTCTCGAACGCGACTTTCCTTTAACGAGAGAAAAACTGTCGAAGCTCTCTGATGTAATATGTAATCGCAAGCAAACTTTCAGAAGGTATCTTAATTACTTGACGGATAAAACAAAATATTCACGCGTATAATACTCCTCCGTTATTAAAAATTCTCGAAAATTAACCATCTTCGAAATCATCTGTATCGAAGAGACGATCAAGACAAAAACGTCAAACGATAACCTTAATCTTGGACATTCACGGATTTTACGGGTCTCCGAACCGAGAAGCGTTCAATTAAAGCAACAGCCTGATCGTTAACAGTCTCGAGCGATTTCAGAGGGATTTTACTTTCCTCAGTGGAATTCCAAGCGGTCGCGAATTCTGAAATCGGCCAGTGATTGCGTCCCTGTTCTTCGCGCACGAAGGGACTTAACAGGCTGCTCGTTGGCCAAGCCGCCGTCGGCCGGACAGCAACTCACTCGTCGTCCACTCCGGCACACCTGTTCACTCAGGTATGCGATCTTCCCTCTCTCTCTCTCTCTTCCTCCATCTCTTTCTCCCACCTTTCTTCCTCTCTTTCGTTTCTTCCCGTATTTGTCTCCACGCAACCGTTCTTTTGTCTCTTTCTTGCTCTTCATCACGACAACAGGACCGACGGTGGTTTACCGTTGTCTCGCTGATCCTGGACCTACGGAGAGTCGATCTATTCGCAGCACGTAAACCTTTCTACTAGCATAAAGCCACCCTGTAATTTTCTGCTCCATAATTATCGTGCTCGCTCCTCCTTTCTCTCTCTCTCTCTCTCTCATTCTCTCTTTTTCTCTGTTTCTTAATAAACATACGTACCTCTATATTCGATCACGATTTAATTACATTCGGTTACAATCCGGTTACACTTTGACTTTTATTCATTGAAAGATACCCAACACGCGTTTCCTTATTCGTGCATCAGCGGTGGCTCCGTAGAGAAAAAAAGTCCGTCTTTCTTCTCTGGTTTTCCCGTTCACGGGAAGCGAGTTTACGGTGCCTCCAAGTTTCCATTTATTACCTCGCCGTGAGAAGTCTATGGCTGGTCCGTAAGTCCTGACAGTTTCAGATTGTTTCGGACCGATTGGAACAAGTGGTCGGTTCAGTCTATAGGGGGGCTTCTCCCCCTCTGAGCACTCGGCTCTCGACCTGCTCGAGCAGAAGAACCAGACAATAGGACGCCAACATCGAAACTATATACCCGCGTGCACTTGTCTTTTTCGCCTTGTTGCTGTCATCGTTTGTTATGGTCTTTTCAGTGCCACAGGTAGAATAATGTCCATGGAAAAATGGTTTCGTTGCCTCTCCTAATTGGACTCGATTCATTCCCTTGTGAAATAGTATCGGCGACACTGTTGAGAAAATGATTACGATGTGTCTATTAGAATGTAAAGAAGCAAGCGTGCAGGTTGGTTTAATAGACGGGTTTTAAGGTGGAGCAGAGTGGCGCTGGTTATGGCACCGTGCCTCGGCTATGCAAATGTAATTCCCCGTTGAAGCTCTTCGAGTCTAATTCGCCGGAGGTGTACGGAGGAATGAAACAAGCCGGTGCCTGCAAGCGATCTTGGAGCTTCAACGCGTTCCAAGGACGACGATGTTAGATTTTTAGAGTGTAACGTGAACGAAGATCGAAGCGTTCCAAGACGTTCAATTATCGATTTCGTTACCTCTTTACGCCATTGTCGAATAAATATTAAGACACCTAAATAGTGTGTTCATGCAAGAGGACATTTGATCCGGTATGCATATTTCTCACAATTTCTCTTTTATTAAAAAATACGTGTTTTCCTTATAACCCTGCATTTCAAGCTAAATAATAATTCTTTGACACCTCGGTCATTTCGTAACAATGATTCAGACTTACTATAGATCGTGGTATTGTTTTAACATTACATTGTACATACAACATCTTTCAAGTTACAAAATATAAAATTATTACGTTAATATAATAAACGAAGTTCGTTTAGAGGAAATATAAATAGTTTCATTCTACTGTCGCTAATTGTACTTGTACACACATTTAAAGTAAACGGCGCTAAAAAAAGAATACGTTCTAAAAGAGATCTATTCCGTAAAACTATTGTACTTCCTGACTCCAATCTCTTTGATCATAAAAATTCATTCTGCCATCAGTCTTCTTCGGGTTGGTATAAAATTTGCTTCAGAACTCTCGTTCCGTCTTCGAATTTACAGTATCGATAAGACGGACACTTTTCGGTGGGAGCTTTATGAGAGTATTTCTTCAACAATATCGAGTTACTCTTCTTCTCGTCGGTCACGTCCCAGATGTTCACGAAGAATATCGTGTATGTGCTGATATCCTTCATTCCGGAGACGGACCAGGCGCACATGTACACCTGAAGCGAGATCACAGAAAGAAAGAAAAAAAAAACGTTTAGCATAATATCTCCTTTCTCGTATGTAATTCATTTTCTTCTCGATCCGCGATTTTACTTACGTTGGTCTTCAGAATTCGCGCGCAAGAATTCATCGTGTCGAGAATCGCCGAACACGTTCTGGCGATGTGCACGTCTTGCGTCACTTCGCTTTTTTTGTAATCGCTGGTATAGGCGTCGAAGTCGTCGATCAAGATCACGGAGGGCAAAGTGGCGAAGGTGTGCAGCTCGACGAGCCGCTCTGCGAGAGCCTTGTAGTTCTCCAAGTACCTGGGATATTGATTTTCTGTGTGATTATTTTTCGTTCGATTTCATAATCGTGGGGATTCCCCGTTTTATACGGGTAAAATAACCTTATTACAGAACGACTAGTGGATTTACTTTTGAACACTTTCAAATGATAAATGGGATTGGCTTACCTGAATTTAGGTAATGGGGATTTATCAGTGTCTATACTGAGATGATATTATTACATAAGCTGTATTTTTGTATTATACCTATACTATCATATTATGCTATCGTAACCAATTTGGGCAATGGAAATTTATTAGTGCATTGTTTTGTATTATAGTACGATTGTATTACTATATCATAGAAATATTAACATTTATCTGCAGACCGTTCGTCTCAGAGAAAAGTCTGAATTTTTATTTCACCATTACAACCTTGTGGAGAATTTTGGAAGCTCTAGTGTTTGAACACCTTCAACTGACAATAGGTGGCACACTATTTCCATAAGAAAAAATATTTAATTTTTCATATAAAATTATAAACATATTGCTTATAAATTTATAGAATTTTATAAAATTTTAACATTTAATTTCAAAAACAAATTCCTGTTTTTTTTTACTTATGAAATAAAAATGCGATCTTTTGTACCTTGTAATATGAGTAATGGCTGTCGGAAGAATCTGAAGCATTTAACTGGATACAAAAAACATCTTCGGAATTTATAGAAAAATTCAGTACTAAGAATGAGCGGCAATCGTAAAACAAACAAACACCACAAAGATCCCGCGAGCAATATACCTAAGTAGATTAATGTGGTAATAAACGTAAAATAACGTTTCATTTCTTACCACCGAACAGACCTGTTTCAAAACCAATAAACATCGTTTCCAAAAGTGAAAGCGTTATCGTCTTGGTAGATCTTTTAACGTGTGATCGTTCAATTTTTCTAGATTCAATATAATAATTAAATATCAAATAACAATTACAATAACTGCGTACTAGAATGAATCTAATTATTTATTTTTGTGATTTATTAAAAATTACATTTTCGATGAATTAACCAACAAATACTTATCTATCAATTTTGTTCAAATATCGATCATCCCTAGTTCTGAAATGACGTATTAAATATTACACGTATATTTTTTTAACTATGTCTAAAAATGTCCATTTATCACGCTAATATACATATGTGATAAGTATTTCATTGAACTTTGACTTCCGTGCTTAACAAAACGAAACAGACTGTAACGAAAATGAAAAAAAAAAATCAAGACAGGCGCAATTAGAAAGAGGAATTTTCCTCTTTTGCCAGAAGCAACACACACGTTCAACGAATCCTGAAGCGAGGACAGACAGAATCTCAGCTTTGAAAAATAAACGGTAGAAGAAGGAAGCAGCTGATTTGCGACGATCCTCGTCTGATCGTTTATTTTACTCTTGCTCCTGGTGGCACGATGAATCGTGCATAAAAATTGCGAACTCCACTGTTTATCCAGCGAACCACCCGAAAGAATAAACTTTTCCAAACTGACTCATTTTATCCACAATGTATTAGCTTTGTGAACGTTCTCACGGTCGAAATGGTTAAAAAAAAAAAATAAAAATGGAGTAAAATAGTACGATATCAATCAGTTAAATGTAATTCTTTGTTTTTACAATTCTTTAAAATTTTGTATTATTTTCTTTGATTATGAATATGATCCTTTAAATCCTTTAGATCCTTTAAATATGATCCATTGAATATAGTGAAATTGAAATGATCCAGTATAAAATGAAAAGCTTTTTACGTGTGAGAAAGTGTTCTTTTCAGGTTAATTGTGACGTGTTCGTATTTTGCTTGGTTACTTTCGAGCCACCCTGTATTTACGAATTGTAACGATAGTCTTGAGCAAATTTATTCAAGACTTATTCAACGATGAATCAAAGTTCTTTGTGCTGTAATGTACTGCGTACTTCATTGCAGTTCGCTGCAGACGAGAATGAGTAACGTTCCCCGGGCGTGATCTATGCACGTTTAACGCAGCCTCTTCTGAAAATACGATCGCTCGTAAACAACGCGTATGTTTATGCACGTAGAATGTCAATACCTGTCGCGTGTGACGTGTAATGTAACTAATGTTCCTTGATCGATCGCTTCCGGTGTGTTAAACAAAGTTTTCGAATTCAAAACCGTTCTACATATTATTATTCTATGGCGCAACATTATGGCGCCTCGCAATGAATAAATCGGCAAACGGTTAGACGACGTTACATTTTTTTCTCGATACAAAATTATCGATAGCCTTTAAAAGAATGACAAATACTGCAAACGAACTTTCTTTTCACATGATCAAAAGGGAAACGTAAATTTTTCTCCGTCTTACCGCGAAGTGCGCAATATGTTAACCGATATTCGGGACTTGAAGCTCGAGCGAAATGAACGATTTCAAAATAAGCGATTTAGTTTAGTTAAATGGGCATAAATCTGACGCTTTTTTTAGAAATGAATCCCGAAGGCCGTTGCACGTGCAGAAGCGCCGCAAGAAAAGTGTTCCGCTTACATAAATCTCATCAGCTTGAAAGCCGCGGGTGCTGGATTACTTCTGTCGTGACAGGCCGCTGGCAGCCTCTCCAACGGAGCTGGTGTAATGTAAACGACACGGCGTCCTTCTTCAGCCCAGTAAATAGCTGCCTGCGAAGGAAAACCCGATTCCGGAAATGTCGGGATCGTTTCTGACAAAACAGATCCGTAACGAGCACCGGTCGCGTAATAACATGCTTAACGGAATGTTTACAACGCATATCGAAAATTTGAAAACGAAATGTATTAATAACACCGTGTTTTCGTATATATAGTTTCATAACTTTATGGAATAAATACATAGCTGTAATTCATTATTGATATTAAATACTTTTAATTTGATGGTAAAACTTTAATTTTATAGTTAAAACTTTGTGACGTAAAAAAAACAGTGGACAATATTAATTGATACTTATGAAATAGCATTCACAAGTATTATTCTTATATTAAAAGCTTCAAAAAATTTCGTTATATTTCTTTTTAGCGTATATATAAAACAATGTAAAGAAATAAACAGTGTTCTAAAAATTCGATACTGCGATGTTCCAACTTTATGCAATTCTACGTCGACTAAATATTTACAGTTATCGAACTGTATTTTAAATTATACTACATATAAACAAGTATAATGTTTGCACTTTTTCGTATAATTACCTCAAACATGAAAGATTTACTCAATTCTGAAGGCCCACAAAGTAACGTCGATTTCACATTATGCTTTACCGAAAACATACTTGACTCTTATCTTTCAAACTATATTTAAGGTTATATGATTATCGCGGCAAAAGATGTGATTGCTTTCTTTTCTTTCAATAATTATATTTGTTACCAATAAAGCAAATATTTATAGAAAATCAATATTTAAGACTTATTATAAAGTGTTTTTTCAACTATTGTTAATATTTTTTGCGCACCTTTTCATATTAACACGATTTTGCGAAGAATTTGAACGAAACGTTTGATGTAAATTACTAACAGCGTCATCTTTCGATTCATATTTGACATAATATCTATTGTAGCGACATCTTGTATTCAGTACATCAAGAATCATATTTTTTTTCATTCAAACATTGATGTAGGTTATACAAACGTAAACAGAATGTGAATTATGTTTACGAATTGATTTTATTATACGTCGGGTCTGAATTTTAGTGGAAAGCTATGAAAAAAGTGATTGTAATTGTAATTTTTACACATTAATTTTGTAATTCTATTCCATTTGAGCATAAAAACATTTATAAAAATGACTAGTGAAACTCAAATCACTAATATTGTAAACGATATTTTAGTAAGTATGCATTAATTTGACATTATTTTATATGCACTTTTTGTATTACGTCTTATTTTATTTGTTTCATTATTTGTAATCATTAGTTCACGATAATCCGAAAATAAGCATTAAGGTTATGATACAAATTTTTTGCGGCTGTATGTGTTTACATTTTGATGAAAACGAACAAACGTTTCCTTAATATAAAATTTTAAAGATTCGTTTATTAATGTTTCTTTTTTTGTTTATTATAACACTAATAGGCATATCTCAGTAAAAATAACAGTTATATTATTTATTTATTGCATCCTGTTGGAATCTTAGATTGTATTGTATATTATAATGTCAAAATCTTATTTTTGTTGTTTGTAAAATTATTACAGAAAGTAGAAGCTATAGAAGAAGCATTTAGCTGTGTTTTGGTACATCATCCAAACAGTGAGAGTGAAAAAATATCAGCATGGCAATCAGAATTAACATCTGCTATGTCAAATTTGTCCAAAGAACAACAAGAAAATGCAGTAAGGCAATTTCTATCCATGGCAGCAGCAATGACTAATCATAAAAGATTACAGTTGTTATTGTCATTACTTGAACATTTAGTCACAACTAATGTTTTACCAGCAAGGTAAGTTGTTTTCAAAATGAAATACCATTGATTAAATGTCACTTTGTTTTTATACAAAATCATAAGATAATTCAACGTATGTAATTTTAGACTTGTGTGTGAATGTATATTGAGTTGTGACAAACTCCAATATCAGTTAGAAGATTTCTGGGTTGAATGTTTTGTTCTTATTCGACATATTATTGGAGGAGTTGATTATAAGGGAGTAAGAGAAATAATGAAAGTAAGTATTAATAAAATCAACTTCAAGTTTATATAACTTATCAAGATTAAGAAATACTAACTGTGATTGTACAGGGGTGCAAAGAGAAAGCACAGACAATACCAGCAAGATTAGATGCATCTATTCAACCACAATTAAAAGCTTTAGAAAATGTAATTGAGTACATTTTTGATAGAAATGCTTGTTTATTGCCAGGATATTTTATTGTAAACGAAATTCAAAAGGCTTTTCCTGATGGTAAAAATTGGCCACATTGGGTATGTTACTTTAGAGGCAACATTTATCACATTTAATTGATTAAATTGTATCTTACTTAATTGTCTTTTTTAGAAACTAGCAAAATTACTTTCGAACTTCGTCGAGAGTTTCCGCAATACGGCACAAATGGTATCTATAGTTGGACATTCAAAAATGTTACCAGTAGTAGAACATACTGGATATGCAGATTTAATTAATCCTTGGGTACTTGATACAACAACATTGAAATTTTCACTCAAAGGAAATTTGCCTTATGATGAAGATTTACTTAAACCTCAAACTGGATTACTCAGATATGTTTTAGAACAACCTTATAGCAGGGACATGGTTTGTTCAATGCTTGGTTTACAAAAACAGGTATACCTTTAATGAAAAAAACCGAAATCAAATCCTTTAGACGATTATAATTTTATTTTATTTGGATTATAGCAAAAACAGCGATGTATAGCTTTAGAAGAGCAATTAGTGGAACTAGTAATTCTTGCTATGGAACGCGCGGAAAATGAAACTTTACCAGCAGAGGGGACTGATGGAACTGTTGCAAATCATTATGTGTGGTTGCACCTTTCATCACAGCTTATATATTTTGTACTTTTTTCGTATGCCGGGTTTCCTAGTATCGTAATGGCAATACACGATAAATTGGCAGGAAGGGATTTGAGGAAAGGAAGAGATCACTTAATGTGGGTGTTGTTGCAATTTATTTCCGGAAGTATTCAAAGGAACCCACTATCAAACTTTTTGCCAGTATTAAAATTATACGACCTTCTTTATCCGGAAAAAGAACCATTACCTGTTCCGGATTATACTCAAGCACTGTGCACTCATCAAATGGCTATTACATGTATATGGATACATCTGTTGAAGAAAGCTCAATCTGAACATTCAAATATTCATAGACCAATACCACATACTTTGAAACTTCACCACGAATTTTTGCAACACTTGGTTATGCCTAATACTTCTCTTTGTATGGGATCAGACTATCGAATTGCCTTATTATGCAATGCCTATTCTACAAATCAGGAATATTTTAGTAGACCAATGGCAGCATTAGTGGACACCATACTTGGTACTCAAAAAGGTCAGCAACAACAACTGATGCAGACATTACAGAATAATGCAGCTCTCGCGAGTGGACCAACCACGCCATTATCGATGTCGATTTTGGACTCGTTAACTGTTCACTCCAAAATGAGTCTAATCCACAGCATTGTTACCCATGTTATCAAATTGGCACAGTCTAAGAGTAATATGGCATTAGCACCGGCACTAGTTGAAACGTATAGTCGACTACTAGTGTACACGGAGATTGAAAGTCTTGGTGTTAAAGGATTCATTAGTCAGTTACTTCCGCAAGTTTTCAAGTCTCACGCATGGGGAACGTTATATACACTTTTAGAAATGTTCAGCTACAGAATGCATCATATACAGCCACATTATAGAGTCCAACTTTTGTCTCATTTACATAGCCTCGCAGCGGTACCACAGACTAATCAAACGCAGCTTCACCTTTGCGTGGAAAGTACTGCCCTCCGCTTAATCACTGGTTTAGGATCTGCCGAAGTGCAACCACAATTATCTAGATTTTTATCTGAACCCAAAACTCTTGTATCAGCTGAATCTGAGGAATTAAACAGAGCTTTAGTACTAACGTTAGCACGCTCTATGCATGTTACTGGAACAGGATCAGATAGTCACAGTGGCACATGGTGCAAGGAATTGTTGAATACAATTATGCAAAATACACCACATTCCTGGGCCAATCATACTCTCGAGTGTTTCCCTCCAGTACTCAGCGAATTTTTTCAACAAAACAGCGTTCCAAAAGAGAACAAACAACAGATTAAAAAAGCGGTGGAGGAGGAGTATCGAAATTGGGCCTCTATGAGTAATGAAAATGACATAATAGCACATTTTTCTGTACCTGGTACCCCGCCTCTGTTTTTATGCCTTTTGTGGAAGATTATTTTTGAAACTGATCGAATTAGTCCGATTGCGTATAAAATCCTAGAGAGAATTGGTGCTCGAGCTCTGTCGGCTCATCTTCGAAAATTCTGTGATTATCTTGTGTTCGAATTTGCTAACAGCGTGGGTGGTGGGCAGCATGTGAACAAGTGTGTAGATACGATTAACGATATGATATGGAAATACAATATTGTAACTATTGATAGACTAATTCTTTGCTTGGTACTGAGAACTCATGAAGGAAGTGACGCTCAAGTATGCTTTTTCATCATTCAACTATTGTTACTTAAGGCTATTGAATTTAGAAATAGAGTCCAAGAATTTGTCAAGGAAAATTCTCCAGAACATTGGAAACAATCAAATTGGCATGAAAAGCATCTTGCATTTCATAGAAAGTTTCCAGAGAAGTTTGCTCCAGAAGGTATTATGGAGCAAACAAGTGGAGGACCTAGTCAATATCAAAGTTTACCTGTTTACTTTGGAAACGTGTGCTTACGATTTTTACCGGTCTTTGATATCGTTGTACATAGATATTTGGAAATTCCAGCTGTATCGAAAAGTTTAGAAACGCTATTAGAACATTTGGGATGTTTATATAAATTTCATGGTTTGTATATATTTTTTCGTTTACAATTATAGAATTTCTTACGTAAATGCGGCTTTATTCAACTTCACCATACTGAATTTTAGATCGACCTGTAACATATCTTTATAATACGTTACATTATTATGAACATAAATTAAGAGACAGGCCACCTTTAAAACGACGTTTAGTATCAGCTGTTTTGGGTTCTTTAAGAGAAATTAGAGCACCTGGATGGGCACTCTCAGAAGCTTATCAGATGTATATGACTCGATCTGTCGATGATGTAGTCACGTGGATGCCTGAATTAGATTATTATATTCGTTTAGTACAAAGAATTGTCGAAAGTAAGTTATTTCTTAATCTGTTTAACATCTCCCAAATTGTAATTTTATTTTCAACAAAATTTTCAGCAATGTCAGGCACTGCTCACTTTCCCGCTACTGATTGGAGATTTAACGAATTTCCTAATCCTGCAGCACATGCATTATATGTTACATGTGTAGAACTTATGGCTGTTCCTGTTGCTCCCAATATAGTTGCCAACTTATTATTAGATGTAGTTGCAAAAGGGTAAGATCCTATAAAATATTATCTTAAATGATCTTTGTTTATAACTTTGAATTTATTAGGTATACAGTGATACCATCAGATGAGATTCATTTGTGGATAAATTGTGTGGGTTTACTGTTGGCTGCTTTACCAGAGTGTTATTGGTTGGCTCTTCATGATCGATTAGTAGAAACTATTAGCAGTCCAGGATTAGCTAATTGGCAGTATAGTAATTTAACCCCATTCCAAATATTCAATTTTAATAACACTCATAATAGTTTATTGGAAAATAAATATAGTTATATGTTGGCACTGGCACATTCCGTATGGCATCATGCTGGTGTTGGACAAATAACTACTATGCCTCAGTAAGTTCCAATTAAAACATGACAAAAATAGTTTTAGTAATTGTGATGTACTGTAATAAAATATAATTTTATCTAGGTTTATTAAAGAGAAGCTTCAACCGGTTGTAAATAGCGAAGAACAGTTAATATATGCCTGTCATTTAATTGGACCCACTTTAGCAAGATTTAATGCCGAAAGGCCGCATTGTGTAGTAGATCTAGCAGTTCGTTTATACGAAATGCTTGAACAAGTCGATCGCCTTCAGACCCATTTAAAATACATGGATCCAGTTTGTGATTTGCTGTATCCTTTTATTCGCTACTTTTTCCACATACCAAGCCGAAAAAACAAACTTTTCAGAAATTTAATATTTTCCTTAATACTAACTGTAACAGGTATCACATTAAATACATGTTTGTTGGTGATATGATGAAAAACGAAGTGGAATGCATTATACGAAGATTAAGGCCAGCGTTGCAAATGCGGTTACGATTTATTGCTCATATAAATATAGACGAAATTCAGTCTTCCTGAGACATTCCGTGTACGAGTAACGCGGAAGTGAATACATGTTAATGTGCAAGTCAACCATTTCTCAGACGCTCGAAAATTTTCGGAATCAGTAAGTAGTGTAAGTCAACCACTTCTCGGATGCTCGAAAATTTCGGAATTAGCAGTGAGTGTAAGTCAACCACTAAAGTCCGTCTAAAGCTTCAAGTTTGCTTTGCCGGACAATAATAAGAACTATTATTTTCAGTAAAACTCCTAAAATTTATTAGTCAGGATAACGAATTCATATCAGAAATACTTAAATGCTTTCAATTATTGTTATTTTTCATAAATACAGACTGATTCTATGCGTTTATTTAAAAATAAGGATGACAAGTTACATTTACAATTAATCCATTATATTACATGACAATATTCGCATAAAATACAATACGTACAAAAACAGTTTTATAAAGTCTCATGTAAATATACAATATATTTTAAGTTACTTTTGTTCACTGAACACCGATTGGAACATTTGTACCTTCGGAATGTTGGAATACATTTCAATACTATACTTTTTTATTTATCATAATGTAGATATACAGATTACTATGTAAAAATATTGAAAATCGCGATTTGCATTAAGGCAAGCACGGGCACTGAATTAACGACAACAGTATTTAATATATGATACAAAAATAATTACTATGAAGTTTGAAGGCACTAAGTAATAGAGCTTAAAAAAATAAGTTAATCATTTATGGTTCCATAAGATTGACTGAAGGAGGTCGGACATTCAGCTGATATTCTCCAAAGACCATAGCTGCTAACCATTTGTGCTGCTCCTCTTTCAACGATCCTGCTAAAGTGTTTCCGAAAAATGGACTTTCTTTACACCTAAAATAGAATTTTTAATAATAGCTTACGATACTAAAGTTTGATATTAAGAATAAATATTTTTAATTTGCTTCTTAATGCTTTAATATTTTTTCAACAAAGGAAAAATATGTTTTAACATTTGAATTAGTGATTACCTAGTTGGTTTTTTATTTTTTGCTATGAATGTGATAGACCATCTGCAATAAAAAAAATATATACATGCTTTTAAAATATCCGTAAAGAAACTTCGTTCATTATGCATTGGAAAAAATATTGCATTTACCCTGTCTGTGGATTCCGCTTTGGCTCGTGGCCTAAATACCAAATGATATCTTCTACTTTCCATTCATACAATACATTTGCACAGACCTTATCTTTGTAACAATAAAGTTTCGCGTGACTAAATTCAAAGAGGTAGTTCTTAAAATTTTTCGACTTTGTATCAGCGAATTTAAGTTCACCAGATGTTGTCATTGGTGGTTTTATCTGAAAAGAAAAAAAAACATTGCAGATTTACCATTTTTTATTACTATCGTTTAAGAAGTTTGTGGTGTAGTATTTTAAATATACTGGAGAAGACAATATCGAAACATATTAAAAATGAGAAATAACCAGATCTAGCTTAATTCAACCACATCCTGTTTATGTGGTCAGCAAATCTACACCTTTCTTTCTCTACTGACTCATGTGATTTGATCTTGACTAAGCAGCTCTCTATAGAAAATAATTTCAGGCTTGTATGACCAAGAAATTGCGTAAAACTTTTGTAATATTAATATACAAGATATCACTTTAATATAAACTTATTCTAATATTGTAACAATTATCTTAATCATTAAATGTGCAAAGTATCAAAGACATTTTCACATAAAAGTTGAAATAAATCATATTAATGCAGATCATTTAACATGGAACACCCTTATATATGTATAACGTAATCTCGTTGTAACTCTATCGCTATCGTATTTACCAGAGGTGCTATATCCTTGTACAGCCGATCTTTTTTAAGTATGAGGACGTTGTCCTTCCTATCCTCAGAATCCCAGTATCCCCACCTCGCCACTGCTTCGAGGACACGCTCTCTATGATGCAGCGGTCTTTCCAGTGCACCAGACAATGTATACTCCTCCAAACATAATTCATGCGTTGGCATATTGGTTTTTTCCGCCAGTTCCTGGCACACGTCGAATGCAGTCTTTTGTGGTCCAATCTACGAAACAAAGTACTTGGAATTAATTACAATCATAGAGTGTTGCAAAATAAAAAGCACGTACATTTCACAAGGAAAAGTGAAAATATTTCCATTTAAAAAAAAACTAAGTTAACTAAGTTTCACTAAATTAAGTGAAATGTATTCTCAAAATGTCATGTATCTTTGGAACATCCTGTATAAGGCAACGGGTTAAGATGAACACGACTAAAAGGAATTCTCACGGTCACATTGACGCATTCCCCTTCTCTCGAGAAGATGTATATCCAAATCTTGAGATCACCCGATGGTGCTCCGCGAAGACCGTTGTTCGATCCGTGATGCTTTTGCAAAACCTCTAAGATTCTCGCCTCTTTCGCCAAATCCGCGGCTGTTAATTGATACAATTTTGGATAGAGCTTTATCAGATCGCCTATCACCCTGGTCTCCGCCCTGTTCCACTCCTCGGCGCTGTTCTCGCCGGCGTGCATTAACGTTGGTCCCCAGATCGCGGAAAGATTCTCACAGGTCATCAGGTTCTTGGAACTCTGCTGACTCAAGCAGTGAAGGTGAGCAAGAATCCTCCTGATCGTCGCCGCAGGTATAGAAGTCAGCGTGGATAGTAACTTTCTGTATGCCAATACTCGTTCGTTCTCATTCACGTTTTCTGGAAACAGAAGCGACGCCCTTTATTTTCTGATCATTTATTATAGTATCTGATACTATTAGAACATTAGTTTGTTAAACTGTTTTCGTACACAGTTAACATTATAGTTAAAAGAAAAACGAACATTTTAAAATATCTGAGTTGAGATTAAAAGACACAAAAAGAGAATACTGTAATTTCTTGTAATTACAGAAATTATGAATATTATTTGCACAAAGATATCCTGTTGCATAAAAAAGTACGTTTTTCATTGCTGTTAAACGGTTGATCGGTTGAAACGATATAAGTTCAATATACTTTACAATGAAGGATATAAACCTATCTTGCTAATCGCAAAATACACGTCACCTGTGCTGCACGTTGTCTTTATCTTTAGTAGCGACTACAAATGATCATGTACGGTGTGTTTTTTATCACAGATGCACGTGTGTTGCTTTCACTAAGAAACGCGCGAAGGCTCGTTATGAAAAGACATGATTCATCGGTGGCCTCCGTGTGATTCTCACGCGGCGTTCCCCTGTGCAGCAGACCGGAAATCAGCTGCAGCAGTTGCAGAAATTTGAGTGCTTGAGTTCAACGTTCGTACATCGTTCACTCGTCTCTCTATTAAAATACATAACTCCCCTTTGAACAAGTGACACTGGACAGGAACCACCAATTATTGCTCTTAACACTTTGCTGTCGGGAGACTAGTTTTCTAGTCTGAAGCATACTGACGCTCGACCAGCGGGAGACTTATCAGGACGAGTCTCGTACGACTCACGCTCACTCTCTCTCGAATCCCACAGAAAGACAGAGTTTTTAACGTGTTTTCATAAATTTATCCATTGCCGAAATGGATTGGAGTGATATTGAAAGAGAAGAAAACGAAATATTTGCTGACAGATCATCAGATTATTCTTGCAATGATAGTGAGTTTTCGGACAGTTATTACTCAGAAGATAGCGACATTGTGCCTGTGAAAAATCGCAATCGTTTTCGTATTTTATCTAGCAGTGACTCGGAAGATGAAATTAATTTTGATTTTTTCACTTTGTGAATTTGCTCGGGTTTGCCCGCTACAGATTATGTAGCCCGACAGCAAAGTGTTAATGAGAGAATATTTTGGAGGGTAAGTCGGTCTAAAAAGAAAACGCAACAATCATAAGTACTCGCTGCATAATGAATTTTTCAGTAAATAAACAGTTTAATTCAATTTATAGTGATGTGTAGATATGGATGGAATTCTTCTTCGACGAATCAGAAAGGATTCTCAAGATAAGAAATCTTAATTGTTGTTTTTTTCAAAATAGAAAGTAGATAATAATTTATTCCCATCGTTTTCTATAGTAAGTAGAATCGAAGGAAAATGCTTTCTCTTCTTTTAGTTGTATTAAGGGTGATAATAGTATGTACATTAAATAATGTCCAAAAGTGGTTGAATCTGTAAGTAATGATACCGGAAATTCGACATTATACTTCCTGATAAAACCGGCTACAATGTGAGAAAGTACGCGTGGGTGCGAACACGAACCAGCTTGACATTCTTCTTATAATTACGTATGCAAATGATGGTCGGGGGCAAGGAGCGATTTATTTGCACGTTTTACTCTTCAGGAAGATGTTCTATATTGTTTTTAAATGAACCAGCAATTGGAAGAAAATTTGCCAGTACGTTCAATTTGAAAATGTACATATGCATACATTTGTCTTCTTTATCCTTATTTCAACCTTTTTCTGTCCATTGTAACAAAGGAATTTCTTTTGCAAGTAGAATTCCAGGCCAAACTATGTATCTTTTTACGTACACAATGCAACATGAGAAAATCGATGTTACACTCTCAGGAAGTGGAACAGCTGTTACAGGATATTCTTGGTGTATTACAAAATCTTACCACTTAATGTTCAATTAAACACCTATTTTGGTGAGAAGTTTTCCAATTATGTGTAAATAACAAGCAACTGTAGTTTCTCTAATGCTTCGTACAACTAAATCCTTCTACGTACAATGATTCACTGCAATTAGAGAAATCAATCTGAACGACGTGAATTGTATGTACACAAATAAAGTTTGTATATCGTTTCCCTGTAATTCAATTGAACATTCCTCAAGATGGTATAGTTTCGTTGTTAAAGTATCCATTTAAGAGAGTAAATCCGATCACAAACAGTCAAGGACAATGAGTGTTCCTTACCTGAGGTGAAACAAAGCCGATCGTGAATGTTAGGGGGGAACAATGGATTCGGTAAATCACGGAGGAACCTTCTGAGAACCGTGGCGACATCGTGCTCCGTATATGCGCTTCTCGTAATTTGCGTAGCCCATGCGTCGTGACGGAAGGCCTCCAATAATTTAACCACAGCACTATTGGACCCATTCTGACGGTAAATACCCTCTGACATGATACCTATAACGTTCCAGTTATAATTAACATAATGTTGCGTTAACATTGAAACGAGAAAAGATTTGCTTTTACTAATTTAAACGAATCTTGCCAAAAAAAAAAGAAAAAGAAAAGGATAGTAAGGAAAGTTTATTTTTCTATAAAAATTCAATCCACCCATAAGCTTCATACTGTTAATACAAAAGAAAAAAAAGATACCTTAATACACTAATATTGTAATGATAGATTTAACGTATTGAAGTAAAGAGTCTTCATCTGTTTATCATATGTAAGTGAAATGACAGATGATCACACTGTACAATGATGTTTACCATGAGCATAAATAAAATTGATGCACTTGTCAAGGATCACAGGCACGTTGTCCTGCGTTAGTTGCTGCTCCTCCAAAGCAGAGCCACAGGTAGTAGCAGCTTGATAAAGTGCATGTCTCCATGCAGATCCTTCGTGAGTCCCTGGTGCAGCCACATGCAGTGCACCGCTGCCACCTGCGTCGACGACCACTACCGGAACGGAACCGGCACCGGCACCGGAATTCGGTCCTTCCTGTTCTCGTAAAACTGTAACAGAGCATCGAAATCACTTCGTCACTATGTATATAATAACTAAACTATTAATATTACAATGAACCTTGGAATGTATTAATCCATGTTAATATTTTTCTCACGTTAACTAATACTCTGGGTGAAAATTCACTTGAAAAACACTCAATTCACTCCTTTTTGTTATTCATGATGTGCTGTAAGTTGGTGGAACGACACAGCTGAAACTACATTAATCTGTGTTAATATAAAATTCAACAATTACTCGAAGGTTACAGAATTTTGAATATGCAAAACGTATTGTTGATTAAAAAAAACTGGAGAAAAGGCTGGATGAGAATTCACGTTAAACGATCGATACATTCCATAACTAATTAGCTTTATAGCTAGAATTGATCGGGATAGTCTGTAAAAGTCTCGACAAGCACTTAATAGCACGTGCTCCGCCCATTGCGAGACAGACGTACAAAAATAGTCGCCGAAGAATCGTTTATGCATTCCAGCCGATGTGTTCGTTGTAACAGCTGCATTTTTATAACTGTTTCACTGTGTAAGTAGGTCGTACGAAAGACGTATTCCCTACGACAAACGTGATTGCAGATGAAAAAATATATTTTCTCCCGGTTGCGCGAGCAAGTGGGTCAGCGATAATTTGTTTTATCGTTTTTTCATTGTTGTACGATTCGCCCAATAACGAATAAACGTGACAACGATTGGGCATTGCGCGTCGTAAGTTTAGAGATTTCATTTTACGTGTAATTATGCAAATGTCTATCAAACTGTAGAGTCAGTCATGTCGGAACAAATTTCGTGAATTGCTCCTCGTTGTTTGCCCTTTTCAGCATGCAAATAGGCTGATTGTTTTATTTACCATGGTGTTATACATTGGTAAAATGTCTCGTCACGGTGTCCATACGGTAGGTCAGAAGATTGTTTCTGCTATAAATCGTCACGCTGTCTGGTGACGCATTTGTCAAGGTCAGACCTCGTTATTCGTTTTAAAAGTAAGTACATTACAAACGCATAAAATAAATAAGTCTTTGTGATAAATGCAACATGATAGTACCTATTTGGGTGAACAATTTTTATCGCCAAACTGCAACGATTTTGTGTAACAAAACCCAAAAAAAAAAGAAAGAAATTTACCAATACATCGTGCTTTCCGAAGATCAAGTTCTCCGAAAGTTATGGCCATGAAAGGGTCCAGAGACTTCGTGTAAATTAAATTTCGTTGATGCAGGAGAACCCAAGCCGGAAACCACGTACCTGTTACGCCTTCCTGGAACACGCATCGATTAGTGTTAATTGATACATAATTTATCTGCAATCCAGCCAAGATAATTGTGTGAAAAATTACAGAACCGTTTAACAAGCCAATTTTTATACAATCTTTCTAAAACACAGCCAACGAAGAAACACCCGTTATATTCCGCATGATCTGTAGGACATCATCGAGAAATGGATGTTCGATCGTTAGAAAGTGGTTTTCTCCAAACAAAGTCTTAGTCGGCGAAATTTGAACAAAAACTCTTGGCACACACGCTGTCTCCTTGATGAATAATAGAAAAAAAAGAACCAATGAAATAAATTTTCTACAATGTCACGCTGCAATTCTTTGATGTTCATTCGACAAATATCGAGAATCGACGAATTTTTAAATACCCGTTAAACGTTGTATTTTAACAAGAATTTTACATAAATACCTTTCGATCGTTAACACACAGATACCTAGCAAGTGTGTGAATTCGAAAAAGCAGCATTACATTTCGATAATTCTAGATTGACTCGTTCTGTTTGCCAATTTTTCTCTCTTTACCTTTAAGTAGGCCCATCCTGCTCTCGTCAGTTCGGCCGTGTATTTCGTGGGAAAGACCGAAGTAACGGCCTCCAATATTCTCTGGGCCCAAATCCTTCGTTCTGCGATACCTTTCGCGTAGAATACGTGCACACTCGGTCTTCCTTCGCCGCTAATTGCTATGCAATGTACTGTTTCGCCATCAACTACCCTGAACATTTTAAAACGCCTTTGTTATTCCCCCTTAACCTTGCCGTATGCAAATCTTGCTTCGTATTCACATTTCTCTCGACCAGCGAGAGCCTCTATTTTTGTTTTCTCTACAAAGCTAACGCTATTTATCTTCGTATAAAAGAAAAAGCGAGAAACGATCAAGGACACGTCCATTCGACTGGACGTTAAAGTAAGACCAAGAGGAAAGCAGGACCAGAAAACACCGGTTCGATTTTACAACGAAGTCGGAATTTCTCTACAATTTAATACGTCGGTCTCTTTAGAAACTAAAGATCAATTTGAACGAAAGATAATGCTTCTCGATCACGGTTCGTCTAACTCTCTCGTCTTCACGTGAAACGTTCCGTTTCCTACGAAGTATCATTACGCCGTAGAGCGCGTCGTTCTTCTATCGACAGAACGAAAAAAGCAGACTCACTTGACGTCCTGCAGAAGATGAATGCTGTACACTGTCTCGAGGTGAATGACCTCCTTCAAAGTAGACATGCCCTTATCGGTGTAAAAGGAGAGCTTCTGGTCGGCCAAGACCGCTGCCCTCGGTACCAGATCCTTCGCCCTTTCTATACCAGCACCGGTCCTGTAAACGATCCCCCGGTGCGTCGCCAGATTCTGCAGATCGTTCACCCTTGGCCTTTCCAGTTTCGTCGATTTCACGACCGACACACCGCCGCTATGGTCACGATTTCTGGACAGCAATTTACTGCCGCTCTTCACGAAACTCATCACGTTCGGCCTGATCCCGTGGCCCCCGGACTCGTGCCTCAATTTTTTCAATTTCTGGATCACGCCCACGCGTCTGTGCTGCTCCTCCGTGGCCTTTCTTCCAGGAGGACTCGGTGCCTCGTCGGTGGTTGTGTTCGCCATTGCTGTACTCGTGACTGGATCGTATGAAATATATATATGTATTTATCGTTTCGATCATCTCGATAAAATATGATCGTCGTTCGAACATTCCGCTACCAAGAGAAACTACCATCCCCCACTCGTCAAAGTTTCACGCGAGTGAGATAATAAAAAATTCAATTTTTTTGTGAATAGTATAGGTAGTTGTGAATAACATTTTTTTCTTTTTTTTTGGAGAATTGGTACAGTTTTCTTAAATAGAACGAGTTACATAGGTAATTTGAAGTGAGAGATTCGTGAGAGATTTATTTATTTAAACTTTGAATTTTTTAACATTTTCTTTGATAGATTTTGTGAATGGACAGTGCTGCACGTAAAGTGTGAAATTTACTTAGTTCGAGCGATTGTGTTGTTAAGTGAACTACCAATTCTAGTCACGCTTGCTTGACGGTACAATCTTCGTACCTATGTATGCATATGTATGAACGTATGTACACCTCATTGGAGACTAAACGGTGGACTGGAGACAAAAGGCGTAAAGAAGCAAACTGATAATTAGTAAAATCGCTAAACTGTGACATTTACAGGCAACGATATTTATTTAAACAATCTTACTGGGTAAAAAAACGTATTGAAACATTTGAAAGTGTCATTAACGTCTTGTTTGCACATTATCTTATCTTCGTTAATTATTCTTTTTGATATATGGTTATTAGAACAGAATTCCATTGCACGTTATTCATTGCTCCTAAGTTTCAAGAATACATACTAAATTTTTAAAGACATCTATCTTTATCTATAAAGTCGTGGTTCAGAATCTACCAAAAATTACACTTTGTCAAAATTGAAGAGTTCCATATCACAACGTTGTGGTACACCCAAATCTCAAATTTTCAGAAACTGAGATAACAATATTTTCGACGCCGTTAAAAATTATCCTGTACCAATGGAGAATGCTCGAGATACTCATTTCTACATTTCATCTGTACACCATCTTCTTGAACAGTGATACACAGAGGTCTCTTCGTTTTTCGCTTCTCCTGAAAATTTGACTTTTTCATACTTAAAACGTTGTGGTTTGTAATCCTTCAATTGTAACACAAGCGAAATAATTACCTGGTGATCCAGCATCGGCGGTCACGGTCTTTGACGGCGTCGAGGACGACGACGAAGGTGGAGGAGGTGGAAGTGGCGCATCGGTAGAACGACTTTTCGGTGTCGGTTTTCTAGGCGGAACAGCGGGTTGTTTCCGCGTGACAAGATGCGCCAATTTCGGTAGCAGAGCGGGATTCTTTCCCGTGGAAATTTTGTCAGGCTGCGAGACAATCTCTGTCACGTCGTCGTATTCGTCTTTCGGCAGGGAATCGAATCTCTTCGGGGGTTCCGGCGGCACCGACAAAACTCGTTCTACGTTCTCTTCTTCCGCTTCGTTCTCCTGCTCCTCCTCGGTCTCGATCGCCTCTTGAAAATCCAGGATACTACCAGCACTGCTCGGCGAGTCGTTGGTAGCCAACAAAGTCTCTAGTAACATCAGATCGTTGTTCTCGAAGTTGCTGTAAACGTTCTCATTGGAGGTCTTCGCGAACGGATCGAACTCGAACAATAAAGATTTACTGTTCTGTCTGCCCTCCGAGGTGTTCGGCGCTGTCTCTTTCTCCTCTTGCACCTTCCGCGGCAACAGATTTTCGTACAGAGAGTTCTGAATCGACGTTTGACTCTCATTGGACGCCAAGGATCGTCGATCGAGAAGAGGCACGTCTGTGTCCTCCTCCGCGCTAGATATCCTGTCCAGCTCGTCGAGACACTCGGATTTGCCTACCGGTGCAGCGTCATAGAAGGTCCAGGAATCGGATCTGGATAATCTCTTGACGTCCGATTTGTCTTGCGAGAGAGCCACGTTAACATCGGACAGGTTCAAGCTCTGGTCTGAATCACTGGCCTGATGAAGAAACGGTACATGATTTATTTTTTCTTTTTCTTTTTTTTTCTTTAGATAAAACAGGATTATAGTTTCTTCTTGTTGTATCGATTTTGATGTCTCCGTCAGTTTTTTCCACTGTGTCTTTTAATGAAAGCAAACGTCGAAATAATATGTTCACGCGTTATGACTATTTTGATATTCTGCTAATTAGAGTATTTTAATTGTCATTATCTTATCAATATTTTAATTAGTGTTGTTTTAATATCTTCACGCTCCAACGTTTTCCTTGTGGTCATTATTTCTAGTAGGATATAGTAAAAAGTGAAGATACGAGAAATGTAAATATTCATTAATAATAAAAAGCGTGAAGTACATATTCGTCTGGATAATGTTCTGGTGCATATTCAATTTTGTTGCACAAATAGATCTGTATTTATGTTATCATAAACGTATAGAAAATAGTACAGCCGACAAGAGAGAAATAATTCATTTGTCTGATAGAAATCAAAATGTTCTAATTAGTGGAAATAATCATAGAAATTGAACGAGTGATAAGTGACTGGTTGACTGTCAGGCGTTAGTAATTGACAGCGTAAAGAAGTAAGTTAATGACCTCGTGGACTAAAAGTGCTCCTCTCAATATGTAATCTCACAGCTTATCAGATACATCTTTAAAATTCCACTGTACATTTACATTCACAGTGTGAACCAAACTACTCAATAACCACTTCTTCCATTTATAAATTACACCAAAACCAAACTGCTCTTCCAATCTTATCTTACTTATTATTTTTTCATTATTTCCACTGCATATTAACCTTGCTAAATAATACGGTCCCTTAAACGGTCACAAAACACTGCAAAAGCAAGAAGAAACAAGCAGAAAAAGTAACGAAAAAATAAAATTCTCCGGTTAACGTAAAAGAAAAGTTTCTTAAATGACGTTATTACCTGATTAAGAGCGAAACTGAGGAGATCGAACGACTCGGGAAAGTCCCTGTCGACTTTGTCAGAGATGGTCGAGCTGATCGTGTCGTATCGACTGCTGCCCGACGTGACGGACTGCAGTTCGTCGTAGATAGACTCGTCAGGATGCGGAGGAGGAGGATATGCAGGAGGTGGTGGACTGTGCCGCGTCCCGGAAAGATCCTCCTCGTTTCTGACGCTTCTCAGATTACTGTTCAGAGGACTGTAGAACGAGATGCTGCTGAATATATCGTCGGCCGGCATCGAGGTGCATCTCTCATCCTCCACTGGATCTTTGTACTTCTTGTTAATAGCTGAATTGTCACGGAGGAGATCGTCTTGATTCAACGAGGTCAATCGACGGGTCAGAAGGTTTTTCACCGATTTCTCTAATCGTATACTAACGTTCTTCGTGCTGGATATCACCGCCCGACCCTTCGTCGTCATCTCGTCTTTCAACTGGCGAGAACTGGTGCTCAACGTGCGAAAAAATTCATTGTTCGTCGTACGTATCTCCGGGTTCGATTTCGAATCGTCGCTTTTCTCCGATTGACTGGAATCGCTGTGGCTGTTGAACCGGGCCGCCGGTAACATTGGAGGCAGCAACCTCCTCGGTGCTGGTACCGGCCGCTCCGGCATCACCGATCTAGGTTTCGGTATCGGCTTCTCCTCCATCTCGAACGGGAATTTTTCTGCCTCGCCGCTTGCTTTTAACCGAAGGATCCAGGAACGTAGAAGTTGCGCCACATGCTTCGGACCCCTTAACAATGTTTCATTTCGTTCATTCATATGTCTGTTTTAAGCTGCGTTCTCTTTTCTTTTTTCTTTAATTTTATCGCTATTTTGAAATTTGCAAGACAGCTGAATAATTTAACTTTATTTGGCAAACAAAATCTTCAGACGTTTTTCTTTTTTAATTCGGACTGAGTGTTCTGCAATACGAATAAGTTTGATTGAGAAAATTTCGGTATTATTACAAATCGTACAGTTCTCGATAATTACAGGGATAATAAATTTTCTGTTTTAAGACAACAGTTCGATTCGACCGTCTTTTTACCAACTCCTCTGTATTTTAGATCATCCGAAAGCGATGCAGTGTTACGCCGTTTGTTTCTTTATACAATCTTGCTTTTATCTGATGATTTTCTAACTTAAGGATATTATTTTCCATTTTAATCTGATTCGAGTAATTCCTGAATGCTAAAAAAAAAGAAAAGAAAATTTAATGTTTAATACCGTGAATGAATTTAATAACATGACTGAAAAAGTGTTTATGGGAATACATGATTGTTTCCGGAGCGAATTCAACCGTCTCATGTTATAATTACATCAATTATTCGGATGTCGTCTCGTCAACCTGTGCCAGGGGACTTGATAGTATCGCGTTCTCTGGAACTTGAGACGTAAAACGAGCCACAAGCGGCGAGAAACGACAGAGGAGTGGTGAACTCTTTTAATTCGGTCTTTTCTTAATTCACGACTCTTTATACTTCGCAATCACTTAAGTCCAATCAATATTAATCAGTCTAATATGAAAGATCATGACTTTCGACGGCGTCAATGAGAGTTTGTGAAAAGCACACGAGTGTGTAATGTACTTTTACCAATGTACACACACGTTTCACCAAGTGAATGTCCAATTTGCAACGATTAACACAGCTATTCCGAAAAGAAACGTATGGCTTTTCATTACAGTTCAATTATTCAACGTGTTACGCGATTTAAGTTGCTTCGTTAATACATAGAGTTCGATATAAACAATATTTAATAAGCATATTTTACAGATGCATGATTTGTAAATAACGAAAAGCGTACAGTGGCTCGTAGTACCACCACAAAGCAGTGAAAGTATGCTGAACTTATCGAGCAAATAGAGAACTCATTTCTGATCTTGCAACACACATGCGTAAGCCTGCTGGCACCTGTTCTCACGTTGCATAATTAAAATGCAAATTCAAGTACGAACGTTCGTATCCATTGAGCAGATTGTTTTTTCCATGCAGTTGCATTAAAAAGAAAAAAAAAAATGAAGAACTGTTAATAAATAATTAAAATATGAATGAAGTAGGTTAAGATCGAATGAATCATATGATTCACAATGCTCGAGCGATTTGTGTGTAATAACTTAAGCATCGAGATATATATATATATTATCAAGCGAATATTTCTAGGAATGATAGTATATCAATGGATCATACGTCGCAACATCCGAAGATGGCTCCTCATTTTCGAAATCCCGACGAGGCGTTGAACACCGACTCGAAGAACTATCAACATTTGCTCCGTACATTCTACCAACGATAGTTACTTAGATTATAAAGACAGCTCAGCGCGAAGCACTTCTACACGGTTGAATCACCGCTTCCGAGTCACGTGATTAGCAATGAGCGGTTGGAATAAGTCATGTTTTATAATTTCGATTGGTCTTGATTATCGGCTTCGTTCACACCTCTTCTGGTGTTCGATAATTTTCGTCTAATTGAATTTCACGTTAATCGTAACTACAGTCGACTGCCAGTTCGTTGTTTTAACAATTTCTTTCTCGTTATTCTTCCAATAATTTTTCGCACTTTTTAAAAGATACATTCCATTTTTGTAACAGTGAAACGTTTTTGTCCTGTAAAATATTTCAGTTATTTTATTCGAAACGCGAAGTTTTATTCGCGTATGTCAAGTGTAACACGATATATGCAAATCTGGGGAAACGAAGATGTATATATCATTAAGGAAGCAATTTAAATGATAATCATACGCGTATTTCGTACGCAGTATTTCAAACGTAATTGTCAGGCTCAATGTATTACTCGTTTGAACCGTTTCATTCTGTCGTACTTATTTCGAGTATCATCCCGAACGAACATTTATAACATCACTAACAGGTAAACTACACGGGACAAATAATTTCTCACCTTGCATCAACATATACAATAGCTAGAAATTCAAAATGTTCCATTCCCGCGAAAACTGTAAACTCTGTCATGTTTGAATCACCATACGCGAGACACGTGATCGAATGGGAGTCGATATGACTAGAGCAGTAAAGAAACATAATGGAAACCCCTAAATCGACGTGACAACGGTTTTGTAGTAGTGAGTCACCAGTTTCGAAATCCGATACTGTAAGCATCGAGTTTCCGGTTTTGCACTAACCAACATCTACGTCACGTTCACGTTTCCATGCTTCCTCGGTTCCGATCCAGGGATCGACGGACTGAACCTAAATTTCCATGTTCCTCGTCGTCGAACAAAGGAGAGTGGTTCGTTGTTCCCTCTGCTCAGCCAAGAACGGAACGTGAATCATGGCAAAGCCACACCGGCAGATCCATCGGAGTTTCTAAAATTAACTGATAGCTCCGCTGCAAATGATAAGTATTCCTCGTTATCCTCTAAACGTCCTACACTTCCTTCAGTGACATTAATAAGCAAGGACTTTTACGCTAAAACTGAATTCATCGTGCAGACTTGCTTCATCTACGATTATGTACTTGGGACAGTTTCAGAAAACATCGATTTTTCCGACATTCGCGCGTTCCACTTACTCGCAGAGAAATTCGCTCATTGTTATTCGAACGACATTCTTAAATCGAGCGAAAAGAGATAGATTAAAGAATATACCTAAATAAACTTTGCGGAGAAAATTAACTTTCGTTCGTTGCTTGTTGTTATTCTAAAAAATTTGTAGAGTTGTCATCAGTAGGTACAACCGTTAACAAATATAGCCAATAAAATATAACGGTTTCTTTTATTCAAATGTTGCTACGATGAATAAACGTGTCCTAGATAACCTCATCTTAGTAGCATTCATTGCTACTCAAGTAACACGTAAAAATACGCGTAACGTGAACAGTCAATAATAAAGGCACTCCAATTACTCCTATCAACCGAGTGGCACACTTGGCAACCGTTCGTACGAAAGACAAATATTTGCCAAAACGTCAACGGGCTCCTACGTGTCGTATACGCGCATCTTCGTTGTCGCGTAATCATATCTGTTTATATAGATTCCATTAAAAGACTAAAATTATTCGTACATGCAACAATCCTCTCTGTCGCGATGTTTACGCATCTGCCTTTCAAAATCTTACTAAAATGCCACTGTCCATATCTATTTTTACATATGCAGTAAAGTTGCACGACCGGTATTTGCTGTTTCGATTTTCACAAGGCAAGGTTAGCATGTTACACCAGGCAAAATCTCCGTTACTTCGAATAGTTAACGTCTCGCAACGTCTGTCACGCGATCTCAAGCGCACCAGATCGAACTGACTTTTCTACGGTCACCCGTAGCTACTTGTTGATTCGTTCTCGGCTGCCGACGAAACGAAAGCATCAGTGTGCAAGGGAACAAGATAGATACATACCTTGAAACGCATCCAAGTTGAGTCCGCGAAACGATTCAGGGACGATTCGAGTGTTTCTCGTGTGGTGACGCTCTTTAATCCCGCTTAGCCAACACAATTTAAACACGAACCTTTTTATTGTCCAGTGGGGTCAGAGACCCACCTGGCTGATGGTCGTTGCCACTGTCATGATCTCTCTCCGCGTCTCTTCTCTTTCCACCTTTAAAAAGGTGCACACACCGTTCCGTACCCACTATACACGCGCACACACACATACACACAACACATACACAGGCACGAAATAGTTAGACGCACGCACGGACGGAGATACAACACTCTCGTGCCCGAGTCGACGCACACACGCGAATCTCACACTTCACGATCGAGCTTCTCTCCTTTCTCTTCGCATTCTTTAACATTTCCGTCGTATGGGTTTCCCGTTGATTATCGACGGAATCGTACGAGCTGCGAAACGCAAAACAACAATGCTTTCTCCTGGTATTTGCACGATGATAGAATCGAGGACGATAAGATAAAAAGACTAGAACAGGTTCCACATCGGACACTTCGGTACTACTCGTGCACGCGCACTAACGCTCTCTTCCCAAGCCTACGCGAGACGCGCGCTACTACCGCACGATGCATCCCTTCCCTCGCTACTGTCCTCCTCTCTATCTCCTCCGCCGCGATTCGCAGCCTGGAACACGCACGTGTATGCACACAGCGAAGCGCGCGAGCAAATCTAACCACGATTCAAATGCATTCCCCATGGAATCTCAACAATACTCCGTTTTTCATGTTATAATCTTTACGTAGCGTTAACAATGAATACAGATGCGACTAAATCACTTTTACGTATTATTTTGTAGAATTCACTCGATGCTCTCAAGTTGGTTCGAACGATTCAGTAAGTATTTCGGAGCAACTCGATCGATGGTGTAAAAAATTTCCTACATCGATAAGTTTCGAAATTGATATTTGAACCCAGTTAATTTCCTGTAACGAACAAATATTCAACGCCGTTAACGTTGTAGTTTACTCACCATCGTTTTCAAGAGGCGTGCGAAAAATCTAACCTAACTTATGCATTCCAGAAAAAGGAATATAATACCGAATGGACGAGAAACTTGAGTTGGAAAACGACACTAACTGGTTACTTGTCGTGTTTTATTTTCAACACGTAATTCTACGTTCTAATTCATCGGACTCGGTCTGTTGTTCTGTACCTTACACGAAACTTAAAAGAATAAACTTGACTGATCATCTGGGCCACGAATGAGTCATACAATTGTCAGCCTCACTGGCAAGCCGATAATTTTTATCAACTGTAGCGCAATTGGATGCGGTTATGAGTGCCGACAGAAGATAGAGACCAGTTCTGTTGCCTGTTGCCTTTGATTATACTTCGACAAATTCGCAATCGGTGACATTTGATACACTGATTACCATTCATTCAGTGATTCCGTGTTAGCCTTTTGATGAAATAATATATTGGTAGATGTACCAATGTAGCAATATAATAATTATAAAAGAGCATATTGATAAATACTCCAATTGAACGTGTGTGTGTGTATACTGAATTCCTCGAATGGTCATACGAGATGTTTCATAGAACATATTATAATTGATTAAAAAATACTGCATAATTGTCATTTGAAGAGTATCGTGCAATAACAATTATCAAGACTTTATTCACTGTTCATTATCCACGTCCAATGCGTGTACACAGTGCCTTTTATGTACGGAGTATTTCCTAATTATAATAATAATAATTTAGAAGAGCCACATTGCACATTTCATCATTCGTATTACAGAAATAGATAAAATGCATCTTTGCTGAATAAAGATTAAGATAAAATGTATCAATTCATACTCCATATCTACGTTGAAAGAGTTGATCCGTTAACGACATAATTGATTCGCGATAAGTATATTACACGATTACAATCAGAATTTCTGAAGTTGCTGAAGTAATTTATGTAGATTTGTTAATATATTTTCAGAACTTGAATAAGATACCATCACGTTATACCCATCGAAGCGTATTATTTGCGCAGCTTGCAGTTCCTAAAACAGAATGGAGAGAATTTGCACAAGGTCGTCATTATCGGGACCCGTTGTCGATCGACGACGACCAAAGAGACACATGAAGACACGGCATGAATATTTTAATGAAACCTTTATTAAGACTTTATCGCGCCAAAGCCAAATAGTGACTCCGGCAATACAAACAGGTAAACGTTTTGCCTCGAGAGTCCTCGATGCAGATGCATTACCGACCGACATCTTGCCTTTATGCCCGTGGAAACGGAAACGTTCCACCGATCTGATCAGATCGCGAATCTTTAAACGGCGAAAAACCGAACGAAAGTACGAACAAATCGGCGAGACTCAGACCCGTTTCACACGAGACATTTTTCATGAATTACACGTATAACAAAGTGTCGTCATTTTTTTTCTTTTTATAGTAAAAAAGGCACAAAGCATTTCAACTTAGCGGCTGAAAGAAGTTTCAGTGTCGAACATAAGATGAAAGAAAATTATACAATTCATCGTGGAAAAGTTGCAATTTACGCGCCATTTGATACTTGGAATTAAAGTTATCGATTATCGCTATTTCGATAATCTGTGTACTTTACTTGGTAATGAATTTTCAAACGTTTGCATAGCAATGCACGCGTGTACTTTCCGTATTACACATTCGTAAGTAACGTGTACCATTTCGTTGAACGTCGAACGTAAAACTGACAACGTTTGACGATAGAACAACCGTACATGTGAAAATATTCGAGCGTAGAATATTTATGGAAATAACATATTGCCAAAAAATGACGGCACATCTTGTCCATCGATGCCACCATAAAATGTCTCGTGTACAATTGGGCTTAACAAGTAACGATTACACCGGATGTAGACACCAATTGGCCACTTTGTCGTCAATTATAAATAAATATGTACGCCGGTTCGGTGTTGCATGTTGAGCGATCAGCCGCGGGTCAATTTCACTACCTTAAATCACAATGGCGACGACAAGTTTATTCGTTTACTTTTTCTCGTTAATTATGTCTTTAAAGAGTGATCGTTACGTACGTCAGAAGGCGCGAGCCCGCGAGTATATACGCACGTGCACGGACTTTCGAATATCCGTATACGTGCCGCCGTGCATCGCTCGTCCAATCGTCATTTCTCTTTCTCGTTCGTGCCCTAAAGCCCGCCAGAAATGCTCCCCCATGGTGAACGCGTTCACGAACTTGACC